TTAGCTCAGGGTAAAGGGTTGAAATCGATATCACACGTAAATGTACCTAATAAGCAAGTGGTGTGTCCATTTTAATATTTAGAAAAATAGATTTCAAAACAAAGCTAGTCAGAAGAGACAGGGATGGACACTATATAGCAATCAAAGGAAAAATCCAATATGACATTTTTATTCTTATCATCTATGCTCATGCTCACCACTAGGGCACTCAAGTTTGTAAAATAAATACTACTAAAGCTTAGTCACATATTCACCCTCATCCACTGTGGTATTTTTAATGTAATTGGTCCCCATAATCAGGGAGAGGTACTACTAGAAGGTGCAGCTTTGTTCAAATGGGTATGGCATTGTTGGAGGAAGACTGTCACTATGTGGGCAGACTTTGAGGTTCATACACACAGGATACCAGCCAGTGTCAGTCGACTTCCTGTTGCCTGGGAGATGTAGGACTTTCAGTTATTCCTCTAACACCACTTCAGCCTCCACGCTGTATGTTTCCCATCCTTATGATAGTAGAATAAAACTCTGAAAGTGTAAGAGAGCCCCCTCAATTAAGAGTTTGCTGTCATCATGGTGTCTGTCAAACTAAGACAGAAGTTAGTGCCAGGGACTGGGGCATTGCTGTGATAGGCCCGATCATGTGTTTGTTTGGAGAATTTGGGTTTTCCTTCTTTGGGTTTGGAAAACAATGGAATGCTTTAAGCACTGCTTAATGGGCCATACTAGCAGTAGCATGGAAGATAGTTGGGCTAAGAGTTTCAAACTCTGGGGGCTCACCAAAGAAGTTTCAGAGAAGATTTTTAGTACTTTGCCTAGAGATTATTCTTCTGGTATTTTGGTGTAGAAAGATTTCTTTCTGCCTTTTTTGAAGAATTTGCCTGAGATTAAAATGAAGATTTTTGATTTAATTCCCTTGGCAGATGAAATTTTAATGCAGCCCGGTGTAGTCTCATGAATGGAGATATTAGTGGTAACTCTAAAGAAAATTTGCTGCGGGAGCTTCTTCCACTCCTTCAGTCAATAACCTTTGAGAAATCAGCCCAGTCATTTTTTTAGTTTTAGAGGGTTTTTTTTTTACTCAGGTAATATTATATTCTTCTTGGGTCTCTGAAGGGGTTGAAGACTAGATAGTTATATTTACAGTTTTCCTTGTTGCCAAATTCAAAAAAGAAACTCACAAAAGCAGTATAAAATGTATCAAGCTGAGAGACATAAAATCTTAATTTGTTTCTCTAAGAAAATATTCTACCTTAAAAAGATATTTTTAAGATGGTTTTACAAGTAATTATAGGAAATGGTTTAGGTATAAAACTTTGAACTCATCAACAGAAGATGGAGAGTAGAGCCATTCCTCCAAATACGAATGGGCTGGACACTGTGAATACAGTTCTAACTTGGTAATTGTTCTTATTGTATATAATTTTACTGCTCTATAGTTCAAGCCTTCCCTTTTTAAATTCAGATAAAAAAGAATAAATGCTGTGGGTTAATTGTACACTATGTGGAGATATATTATTGTGATTGGTGTAATTAAAAGCTTAATGACCAATAGCTAGTTGGGAGGGATAGATGGGACTCTGGGCCAGAGAGTGAACTCTGGGAAGGAGAAAGGCATAGTCACCAGCCAGACTTAGAAGAATCAGGATGGGCAGTCTGGTGATGACTTAATAAACCTTGTACCAGAATGTAGATTTAAAAATATGGATTAATTGAAGTTATTAGAAGTAATTAGGAACAAAACTAAGCTAGGGCTGAGGTTTCATAATTAATACTCAGTGTCTGTCATTTTTGAGACCGGTGGATGGACAAACTACTGCACTGAAAAGGTGCACACAATGTAGTTGTGATTAGATGTCTTTAGAGAATATTAACACCCATGATCTCCAGAAGAAAGAGACCACGTAAACCACTTTTGTAAATCAGTTGAAAACAAGGAAGGACATTACAGGTGGAAAAATATTAGTAGACAAATTTTTGAGAGTGCCATAACTCTTATGGCCCAGATGTGCTGAATGAATTTTGTGATCCACACTATTCTCCTATTTAGGTTCCAAAATTAAGTAGGAAAGCAAAGACTAGTGTATGTAAAAGCACAATTTGTTACTAACATTGTGATCATTGTTATCATAGGAACAGACACTGTAAGTTTCAAGACCCAGGTAAAAGAGGGAGTTTCCTTAAGTTCACATAGATAAGCTCTCTCCAATATCTCCTTTATCCTTTTTTTTTTAAAAAAAATTTCTTTTACTTTTTATGTGTATGAGTGCTTTGCCAGCATGTATATATACCATGTACATTCATATTTCCTACAGAAGGCAAATGAGTTGCTGAATCTAAATCTATCTGTCTTGGAAATATAGATGGTTGTGGGCCACAGTGTGAATTCTGGGACCAAAACCCAGGTCCTCTGTAAGAGTAGTGTGTGCTCTTAATCACTAATCCATCTTTCTAGTCCATCCAGTCTCCTCTTTTTATTTATTTATTTACTTATTTTTTTTATTGAAAAAATTTCCGCCTCCTCCCCGCCTCCCATTTCCCTCCCCTTCTTCCCACTCCTCTCCCCTCCTCCCCATTCCTCTCCCCCTTCCCCCACTCCATTCCCTATCCCTCTCCAGTCTGAAGAGCAGTCTGTATTCCCTGCCCTGTGGGAAGTCCAAGGTCCTTCCCACTCCATCCAGGTCCAGGAAGGTGAGAATCCAAACAGGCTAGGCTCCCACAAAGCCAGTTCATGCAGTATCCTTCTACTCTGTATCCTTTTGTCTTGTAGTATTTTTATCTGTCTTGCCTCATTCATTATGTTTTATGTTTCATTCTCTCTCTCTCTCTCTCTCTCTCTCTCTCTGTCTCTCTCTCTGTCTCTGTCTCTCTCTCTCTCTCTCTCTCTCTCTCTCTCTCTCTCTCTCTCCCTCCCTCCCTCTGTGTTCTTAAGAACACAGATTATGTGAATTAGTTTTTGCTTTCCACTATGTAGATACGAGGTATCAAAGTCAGATTATCAGGCATGGTGCCAATGACTTTACCTGCTAAGCCTATGCTTCTTCATCTTCATAGCTCTTATGTTGGGAGGTATATACTGACATTTCCAAACAGTTCCTTCCTATACTTTATCACTTCACAAACACTTAAAAATATATGGTAAAAATTTAAGCATCTGGCTACACGATTCCTTAGAACTTTAGTCATGTAAGCCCCAAATCCTTGAACATAAAGATTACCCTCCCCATAAACACTGAATCCATATCTCTTAGGTCAGAATGTTCAACTGTTTTCTAAATTTTACATTAGGTATTTACTGGGCATAAATAGCTGAGAAATAACAAATTAAATATCAGTAATAAACATAATTTCCATATAAATGAAAATTTCTGGATTATTCATTACATTTTGAGGATAGTTTAGGATGATTGCTGGGAGAAGGCATGAAAAACAAATTGTGTCTTTCTTCATGACAAAATTATTTCAGGAACATTGTATTAGCTTTGTAATTACTTTACAGGTAGATACAGGATTAACACTGAGACATTGATTACATCTGGATGTTTTTGCTGAGTATTTATTGTATTGTAGAACCAAGTAGACATTACAGATATGTTTCTGAATGAAACAGTTTTCATAATAATCTTACTTCATTGAAGAATATACTAGAGAAGAAGAAACAGTGTAAACTTAGAAGATGGTTGAGAAGAATAAATAGAGCTCATATAAAAGGAAACGTTAGTTGTGGCAGGACTGGGTGGTCCCTTGGAGCAAGTGATATTTAACCAGAAAATTAAGAAGGACTTGTAGGTGTGAAGATTGGGCACAAAGCTTCCAGATTCAAAATTGCAATTGCACTCAAGTTAATAACCTCAGGAACTAAAATGTAAATAAGGGTAATGTAAAGTGAGAATCATGTTAAAACTCTAGAGTTTATCTAACATAAAAAGAAAGGATTAAACTTTTGAAATAGAAGTGGACTAATATAACTGTATTTTTTAATGTGTTGTACAGACAACTTCTCTTGTGAATACTTCAAGTACAATTATCACCATTCTGGAAAGATATGCTTACTGGTGTTATATGGCACAAATTTCATGGGAGTAAACATTAACCTTCTTACTGGATTTAAGGCTAACTTAAATAATGAAATCATGAAAAAATTCACAGCTAACATGATTCTCAAGGCCAAAACCTCTGCTGTAATGGACATTGGCCATAGGGAAGAACCCATTATCATATTTCCCTGAATGGATATATTATTAAACTGAATTTTAAATGACTTATCATGAAATCCGCAGATTAGTTCATCTCCAAACCTTCATGAGTACAACTTCTTTTTGCAGTAGATGGTGATTAACACACAACTGTGAGTGTGCGGAGAATTAGAGACCTTGGATAATATATCTGTATCATATGCCCTTCTCTCCAAGGGCAGGAATCACTGTAATAGAGTGATTGGAAAGATAGTAAGAGCCAGAGCTGGTTGATAACTACAAATATACAATGTTTTCAGGACACAACAGAACTGTTGCACTATGTATAAATGTTGTCAGTATGGACAAGGTCAAATCATACAAAGTCCCAGCATAGAGAGGGTACATGAGCATGAAGTCTACCTGTAGCTGAGGTGTTGGCAATTGTTATCTTCCGGGTGGTGAGTCCATTTTTAATGGTGTAGCCTTACATGTTTCAGGGGAAGCATAATATCGAAGTCTGTACAGGTAGAACAATTTAGGTTTCATCAAAAATAATAATTAGGTATATATAAGAGGGCATTATGAGAAGAAGCCCTGTGAGAGAAACTGGACACTATAAAATACATTGTATAATATTTTCAAAGACACATTTTAAAGTATAAAAAGAGAAATCGAATAAATATAATATCTATACATAATCGGAGGAACAGAGATGAGGGCCAAAGTTATAACAAGGAAACCGAATAACCAAATTTGAGCTAAAGGTCGCATTGGTTTTGAATAATTATCCTTATTATATGAAGTCTTATAAAACATTAGACTGCTCTAAGAAAATATTTTCTTATGAAGCTGTCTCTTCAGAGCACCCTTAATTTCATTATTCCTGAGGCTGTAAATGAGGGGGTTCAACATGGGGATCACCACCATGTAGAATACAGACAACACCTTGTTCTGGTCTGTGGAGTAGTTGGAATTGGGCATCACATAGATGAAGGTGATGGTCCCATAGAACAGAGTGACAGCAGTGAGGTGGGAGGTGCAGGTGGAGAAGGCCTTCTGGCGGCCCTCAGTGGAGCGCATCTTCAGGATGGTGATGAGGATGTAGGTGTAGGAGACAGCTATGACAAGGACTGTGATCATGGTTACTGATGCAGCAGAAAAAGAGGTAACAACTGCAGAGACACTGACATCAGAACAGGAGAGTTCCACTAAAGGAGCAAAATCACAGTAAAAGTGATTGATTCTGTTTGGTCCACAGAAAACAAAAGAAAGAAAGGAAAGGGCAAAGGAGGAAGAATTAAGGAAACCGCCTATGTAAGATCCTACAACCAACAGGGTGCAGACTTGTGTGGACATTTTGGTTGAATAAAGAAGTGGATTGCAAATTGCTACGAAGCGATCATAAGCCATGGCAGCCAGAAGGAAACATTCAATTGCCCCAAAAAAAGCAGCTGAGCTAAACTGTATAAAGCATCCAAGATATGAGATGGTACTTTGATTTACCAGGAAGTTGACAAGCATATTGGGTGTGACAGAAGATGAGTAGCCTATGTCAGTAGAAGCCAAGTGACTCAGAAAAAAGTACATGGGGTGATGGAGCTGGGACGAGACTTTGATGAGAAGGATGGTGCTGAGGTTCCCAGACACAGTCACCAGGTAGATGCACAGGATGATGGTGAAGAGGATGAGTTTAAGGACTGGGTCATCTGTCAATCCCAATAAAATGAACTCTGTCACTGCAGTGTGGTTCCCTTTCTCCAGGAGAGCCATGAGGTAGTGTAGCTCCTGACAGAACCAGACTGTGATGGACACATTACAGGAAAGGGTTTATAAATAGGTCACTTCATTCCATTTAATCATACATGGAGAGCATTACCAATAAATATATAAATATATTTTTAAATTGGACCTACAATGAACGTTTTACTAGGGTTTTCATAATTTGGACATCTGTGTATTATAATTCCTTCAAAATAATTTAAGTAGAAGTGTTAAGTATATGTTACAAAGAATAAATAACTTTTATTTTGTTATCTGAACAATCCCATCACTCAAATAAATCCTTAAATAAATATAAAATAATGTAAATCTTAAGAAGATAGCAATATACTAATTATAAATATAACAAAATGTAAGAGAAAACAATTTAAAGAGTTAAATAATGACTAACTTTTATTAAATGCTTACTACATCACCAGGACTGGATTTAAAAATATTGTATATTTTTCTATTCTTAATTCCATTAGATAGCATTACAGTTTTATCAATTCCATTTTATAACACAAAATCATTTTAAGTTTTGTAAGATTTATATAATAATTAACCAAATTATTGGGCTTCAGAGATGGTTTAGTATAGTTAAGAGCACTTTTTGCACTTGCAATGAATCAGGGTCTGATCCCCAGTACTCACATGGTTTCTCACAGCAGTCTGAGGTTCTAGCTCTGGGGACCTAATGCCTTCTTCTGGTCTTCACAGACAGCAGGCATATATGTGGTGCAAATATGTATATACAAATTCATAACATAGGCAACATTCATAAACATAGACTCAAAATTACAATCTTTTAAAGTTGCAGTATATATGAACACTAGCCTTGTTGAATTTAGAGTATTCTTTTTAAGTAACCGCACATAATTATGGGTGTCCATGCAATTGAGGGCACATTCAAATTAAGCACAGACATCAGAGTGGCATTTCTGCTTTCCAATGGTTAATACATAGAGAGGTGCTTTGCTGGTGACACTTGTTACAAAGTCTATTAATTTCTGCAAGTAAGTTCATGTCTTAATTAACTTTTAAAAAATGTAAATTTTCTTGTTAGAACTGAGAAGAAATAAAACAGAGATCACACTCAAATTGCAAATACAACTTCCTGTGGTAAGCTCGTTAAATATTTTAAGCATTTTTAAATAGATCATTTCTCCTCAAAGTACCTTGAAATAGCAATTTCATCAGCATGTAAAATATGAATAATATTTATCATGATATTTCTAATATTTTGTTAAAACACATCAGATGCTTTTCCAGTGTCACAGTGGTTTCTAACAGGAGTGTGATGGAATAAATTTACATGATATTCAGCAGAGGACACTGATCTGTAATTACTCAAATAAAAAGTTAAGAGGTTTGTGGAGGTTCATCTATCATAGCACAGATTGACTATAATCCCTCACATTCTATATTTACATTCTCATTTGTCTACGGTGATGCATATGACACTGAACATTCAGTCCATAAACTAAGCAGGGCTTTGTACATGATATTCATTGATAGTAAGCCACCAAAGCATTTAAAAGCTAGTGAACTTCTGAGCCTTGGGCTGAATGATATGGGTGTAGAATTTGAAGCTCATGTTTCTTTCTGGTCTCCATTAATAAGGAATCTTTGAAAACGTGAGGGAGCTGGGAAGAGTGTATGAAGGGGAAACTAGTCAAGATGTAGTATGTGAGATAAGAATATATTTTCAATAAAATAAAAAGAGAAAACTCAATTTTATGCCCAAGCATTCTGAGTAATTCACTATGGACATATAAGGTGGTTCAATAAATTTGTGTTTATTTTCCTTCTGCTTTATTATTGCTTTATTTCATCTGACTTGTTTCTCCACCATGGTTTGTAAATTTAGTACATTTTCAAAGGATAAAGTATCCCATTTACCAACAAAGTCAAAATCTTACCTCTTGTGGTAATTCATTTCAAAGTAGAAACTTCAAAGTCACTATGATTTTATACCTACAAAGATGTCTGCACTGTTATTACTAAGGATAAGTCCCTGGTGAGGTTATGGATTTTAGTGTGAATTTAAATCACCAGGGATCATTACTTTATTCCCAGTGATTATTGAGCACTAAATTTCACACAAAATAATTAATTTCCAAGGGGTTACCTGTCAATCTCAAGTGATTTCTTGTATTCCTGTATGTGAGTATTGGTGCACTTTCACTTGGCATTTAAGGGAGGTACATGATGATAACTATTATCTTAGGTAAATATTTGAACAAGTTGATATTTGTTTCAGTTTAGATCAAATTAAAATACTTCAATCTTTAAAATACCTTTTTCAATTTGTGTACATGATGAAATAATTTATTGATTTTATATAATGAACAATCCTTGATTCTATAGGATAAAGCCTACTTCACCTTTGAAGGAATACACAAAATCGATCACTCATTAGTATGCCTGAGGAGAATGGTTTATTGTAGAGATAAAAAAGAGCAGAACCAAAGATATCTGGTAAGGTCCAAACTGAGCTAGACAATTGGACTGAACTAGATAATGAGAAGAGCAGATGAGGGGTAGGGTAAGAAAAGAAGATCAGGGCCCTTTGTTCACGAGCTAACCAAGCAGAGCGGAGTTTCGATCTGGGCACCAAGTGAAACATCATTGTGGTGAGTGAGTGCTGCGGCACCCGGGAACATACCTCAGCCCGCCAACACTTCCTGGCCATCCTACAGGGGCTATACTGCCCATACCTCCTCTCTCTTCCTATCCCATCCAGCTTACATCCAGATCCCCCCACCCCCTGTCTCCCTCCCTCCCTCCCTTCTTTGGCAGCATAGCGCCTCCCTGCTCAGACTGCTAGGGCCCTGGGACCGAACCCGAACCGGAAGGGCAAAGGGGGGGCGGTAGCTCCTTTGTCCCCATAGCCTGCCTGCAGCAAGCAGCGTGGGCCCTTTGTTTGCGAGCTAACCAAGCAGCACAGAGTTTCGATCTGGGCCCTAAGTGAAACATCATTGTGGAGAAACATCTCTGGGGAGTGACATCACTGGGAAGGTACATCAGTGGGCAAGAAGACCTGATCCTATAAAAGAAGATCCATAGGGTAGTATTGGGAGGAAGAGATGGGCAGACACCAATGCAGGAATTCTCCCAACAATCTGAAAAACAACACGAAACCACAAGAAGCCAGTGACCTCACAACAGGAGGACATGAACACCTTAATCAAGAAGAAGTAGAAAAAATTGACTTTATGAAAGTGATTGACACCATTAAACAGCATATAAAAAATGCCCTTATAGAAATGGATGAGAAGTATAACAGAAAGTTCGAGGAATTGAGTAAATCAGTGAATGATACCGTAGGAAACCAAGGAAAAACAATCAAGCAGATAATGGAAACAGTTCATGACTTGAAAACTGAAATGGAGGCAAAGAAGAAAACACAAACAGAGGGCCGGCTGGACATGGAAAATCTAGGTAAATGAATAGAGACTACAGAATCAAGCATAACCAGCAGAATACAAGAGATAGAAGAAAGAATCTCAGATTCTGAGGATAACATAGAGAAAATAAACGCACTGATCAAAGAAAACAGCAAGTCCAACAAACTCTCTTCACAAAACATTCAGGAAATATGGGACACAATAAAAAGAAGAAACCTAAGAATAATTGGAGTAGAAGAAGGAGAAGAAGTGCAGCTCAACGGTCCAGAAAATATACAAATAAAATTATAGAAGAAAACTTTCACAACCTGAAGACAGATGACCTTTGAAGGTTCAAGAAGCATATAGAACACCAAATAGGCTGGATCAAAAAAAAAAAAAAACATCCCCTCACCATATAATAATCAAAACACAAAATATACAGAATAAAGAAAGAATATTAAGAGCCACAAAGGAAAAAGGCCAAGTTACTTATAAAGGTAAACCTATCAGACTTACACCTGACTTCTCTATGGAAACCATGAAAGCCAGAAGGTCCTGGATAGATGTACTCCAAAAACTAAGAGACCACGGATGCAAGCCCAGACTACTATATCCAGCCAAACTTTCGTTCACTATAAATGGAGAAAACAAAATTTTCCAGGATAAAAACAAATTTAAACAATACGTAGCCACAAATCCAGCCTTACAGAAAAAAATAGAAGGAAAATCACTAACCAAGGAGTCCAAAAATGACCACAATAACACAGGCATCTAGAGACCCTTCACCAGCGCAAATCAAAGAAGGAAAACACACAAACCCTACTACTAAAAAAGTGACCGGAGTTAACAACCACTGGTCATTAATATCACTTAATATCAATGGGCTCAACTCACCTATAAAAAGGCACAGGCTAAGAGATTGGATACGAAAACAGGATCCAACATTCTGCTGTCTTCAAGAAACACACCTCAACCACAAAGACAGGCACCTACTCAGAGTAAAGGGCTGGGAAAAGGCTTATCAAGCAAATGGACCTAAGAAACAAGCAGGTGTGGCCATACTAATTTCTAACAAAGTTGACTTCAAACTTAAATCAATCAGAAGAGATGGAGAGGGAAATTTTATACTGATAACAGGAACAGATCATCAGGAAGAAGTCTAAATCCTGAATATCTATGCCCCTAATTTAAAAGCACCCACGTACATAAAAGAAACATTACTAAAACTCAAGGCAACCATCAAACCGCACACACTAATAGTAGGAGACTTCAACACTCCTCTCTCACCAATGGACAGGTCAATCAGACAGAAACCTAACAGAGAAATAAGAGAATTAATGGAGGTAATGAAGCAAATGGACTTAACAGACATCTATAGATTATTCCACCCAAAGAGGAAAGAATATACCTTCTTCTCTGCAGCTCATGGAACATTCTCGAAAATTGACCACATACTTGGTAACAAAGCTAACTTACACAGTTACAAAAAAATATTTGTAACCACCTGCGTCTTATCAGATCACCATGGATTAAAGTTAGAATTCAACAACAATGCTACCCCCAGAAAGCCTACAAATTCATGGAAACTGAACAGTCAACTACTGAACAATACCTGGATTA